TAATTATCTGTAAAATTATATTTATATAAAATGTTCATTTAAATATGTAAAAATCTTAATGACAAGAAAACACTAAAGATTCTAATTTCTAAACCGGTTCTGTAAATGATTTCTTTACAACTAAGTGCTCAAAATTGATACAAGCTAGATAAAAAGAAAACTTTGCCCAGTGAAATACGCTTTTCGTCGTCTGATTTACATAATATGGATAAGCAATCTTTGTAATTATGTATATCATTGGGTGTGAGACATTAATTGTTGTGCTCTGTGGAAATTTATAAAATTTCTTTACTATCGAATGAAATCCATGTTTCCAAAGTGATGTGTTTGTACATCCAAGTTTTTTCGATAATGATATTAAGAAAATAATTCGACTTTATTTAGTTAATAAATATTAAACAATAAATGACGTATAAAACATTAATAAATACCCCCCAAAAAGTTCACATTTTTGTCACCAGTTAGCGTTAAAGTCATGACGCACGGTCTCTATTATATAAAATCGCAAACGTAAGCATGGGCGCCGCCAGAACTTTTTCCAGGGGAGGCAAGAATGCAAAATTGTGAATTCTTTAGAACAAATTACAGAAATGTAGGGATTTATAGACGCTATCCGCTATCCGATACGGAAACTAATGAGCTTAGGCGTGATTGTCAAATGCGCCGGATTTACCATTTCAAGAGATTAGATACTCTAAAAAATATACCGAAGGTCCAGAGCAAAAACCCGATAAGTTATAAAATTTATTGTCAACAACTTTCCTTCTACATAGCAATTTACAAATTACATTAATTATGCGTCAGATATCTAAATAAGTTAAGGGAATATAAATTCACATGAATAGGTGATTAAAGAATAACATAAATCATTGGTTCTAATACTAAAAGCATAGAAATATTAAAATAGGTCCATTGAGTTATACATATTAATGAAGCAAAGTTTCTTGTTAATTCTAAAGTATTTGCTTTAAAATTACCATATACTCGTAAATATGTGTTGTTATTTAAACCTCTTTCACGGTAAATTAGATCAATTTTAAAAACTATATTTCATAATCCTCATTTGAGCTTTTTTAATATCCTGAAAATACCATTAAAGTGTTCCAAGTAATATTCCATATGATAACTGGAACAAACAAATTAATTGTAGCGCAATTTGATAGATATATGTACTACATTAGTAAAGCTTTTACAATTTATCATTATAAAGCCATACACTTTTTAAAAGTTCTAATACTTTATGTCCATATGATTAAAAAAAGTTAGGTTTGAATTAAATATAATTCATATATTATCATTTATGATTATTACATATCTCTAATTAACAATTTTGAATGAACTTAAAGAACTACTTATAAATCTTAACATTTTTCAACAAATAAATACCGATACCGTTCAAATTTCTTTGAATTTTGTTACAATCTTCCACACTTTGAACATCTGAGAATATTTAGACACGGACCTTCTACATTAAACAAAACATTTATAAAAAATTGGAATAATAATGGTCCCATATTGATTTCTTATGGAACCTTGTATATATTATGTACCATCTCTACTTGATCTTGGTTGTCAAAAACATGAACAGAAATATATTCAATTAAGCATAAAGTTAATACCCATTCAATGATTTTTAATAAAACTTTGTGAAATATTATCCAGGAGCTAGATAGATAGATAAATAAATGCAATTGCAAAGAAAAATAATAAAAAGTACACAATAATGACATTGGTCTATAAATGGCCGTTTGAATTCTTCATACTTTTAAATATTATGTTGTATATACTATTGTTTCTTTAAAAAATTCAGTATATTTTTAATTTTTTTTAATGCAAAAAAATGAAAAATTTGTTTAATTAGTTATTTCACTGAATATATCTAAAGGTCTAGTTTAACATTATACATTCAAAAGTCTTAAAATAATGTCACCAATGTGTTAGATAGAAAGAGTTTGTTGGTATTTATCTTTCTTCAGCAAATATTTCATCATGGCTGAAGTGAAAATCAACTTATATAATGACTAGTGAAGGGTACAATACACATTGCTCAATTTTTATAAGCTATATAAATCTAAAGAGTTCATTACAATGAATTTATGGACCATAAAGATGCGATATAACAGAAAAGTCCTGTTATAAAATTACTTGGTTATAACTAAATTACAATAGCATAGATTAGGTAAGTTGTACATAAATAATTTAAATAAATACTAGTAACCTATAAAACCTAAGAGTTGTAAAGGGTTGGCAAATAAAATAAGACAAAACTATATTTTGAAAAAATTATCAACAAAAGAAAAAGTTCTATCAAGATAATAATTGTGGGCATTTTCCGAATAAAAAAAAAGTAAAAAAGAGAACAGTCGACACGTGTTTCTGACTATTGGTATTCATCACTACGGTGCAGCCAAGTTCAAAGGATCATGGAACTTGTGTTGGAAAAATTGTACAATAGTAAAGGTCACTAACAAGGAGCCAATAACAGATTTGCGATTTCAGGCAGTATATCTCTAATTTTCTGGGTTTATACTAACGTCACAAAATAATCGGATGGTTTCCCTATGGCTATCAGCCATTCTTTCCTAAAATATTTTGGTATGCTACAATAAAGCATACAAATTATTTAATTTTGTAAATATACAAATATTTGTGAAAACTTAGGTACCTACACATGAAATGTTATTCCTTCCTTGTCTCTTCTACCGTAAGATGCATTGTTACATCCAGGTACAAAACAACAAGACATTTTGGAAATCCTGTAAAAATGTAAATGTTTTTTATTAAAATAAAACACCAAACGACTAAATAAAATCGACACACAAACACTTAGATAACGAATGTTAAGAACGCCTTTAAATAACTTAAAAGAATAAAAGATAAGATAGAGGAAAAATTTAAATTTTAAGTCACACTTCGCACCGACCAATGCCGATTATAAGCATCGAACGCCGATCTTAAGATTATTACTAAACTTGCGCCGGTTCTGTCAGTAGTTCCAACTTAAAATTTAGTGATCATGGCATCCATTATATTGGGGGTCAAAATTTTTTCACGATGCGGTATCTAGACTTTCTGAGATCTATGGTACCTACCTATACTTACTGTGTATTTTGATTATTTCATGACATATTTTCATATGATGTCAACTAATTGGAGAGTAGGTTGATGAAGTTCATTGGTTATTAAATATTAGGTCTGTTCCAACAACGATCCAAAACCACTCATTGACACCAGGAATCTGCACAGTAGATTATTTAGACCGCCAAATTCATATTGCGCACAATCCTGGTGTCAATGACTGGTTCCTGATCGGTGTTAGAACAAACCTCGTAAGACCCAACTTCACTTTTTTCACGATATAATCACGATATTTTTAGGTTTAAAAACTTCACATTATTCGAAGTAATACAAGACGTCACTTTAAATTTCTATCTCATAACAAATACGTAACACGATGAGTTTAATAAAATGTATGTCTGGAATCAGCACGGTTGCAAATGTCTGGTGATCACCACCTTAGATAGGGCCACTTCATCGACAGTATATTTTTAAATGTAAAACACGTTTACTGAAGTAATTAGGCAAAAATAAAAGACTGTATTTTGCGTTTTAGGTTTTAAATATAAAGAATATTGGAAAGTCCATAACTTTTAAATATTTGTAAAACATTACTTATTTAAATATTGTTTATCAAAAGTAAAACAAATGATGGACTCGAATATTCTTTATACTATTTAAAAGCTAAACCGCCATGAACAGTATTTTTTTTATTGGTACCCTATTTTACTTATTTAAAGTACGCCTCAGCGTGTTTAAAACGAACTTTAAAAAAAAACGCGTGTTTTAAAGTTACCATGGCAACATCAACAACCCGAGAAACGTGATGTCTAAATGCCAACTTTTTAAATATTGATCTGACAGGAGTGCCTTGTAATGTCAAATAAAATATTTCTGAGAAATTTTTCAAAAAATTTATTTACCAGCTAAGCGTAAATCGCACAATTCACATCTTCTACAAGAGCCAAAGATGCCACAAATAGCAACCACCTTCAAAAATAAATACGTAATGTCCGGTGCATCTGTAAAAAACTTCCGCAAATCGTCTTCCTCGAATACATATGCCTTCTTGACTACCTCATTTTTGCTAATTGCCTTCATGAATGCATGCACTTTGACGAACGATTTTATATCGACCCCTTTGTTTATCCTCAACATACTTTGTATTTTTGAATGGATAATTCACATAGTCGATACTTTATACTGTTCCGACATTTTCTGGAGACAAGCGAGAACAACTCGTTCATCTATATGTGTAACCATTTGCTCTTCCATCCACGTGTTGAATTTATCGTATTCTTTTTTATAAACCGCTTCGGATTTTTGTGATATTAAGCGCGATTCTGCTTTATTATTTAAATACTCAATATTTGAACTCATTTTAAACAATAACAACTGTTGCGACAATTTATCTTACGTGACAGATTGAAAAGTTTTGTTTGTCTCATTTTTATGACAACGAGGTATACTACGTATACAAATTCAACCATTTTCAGTTATTAGTTCTTATTTCCATTTTTTTGTAAAAATAATACCAATATTTAGGATTTCAAAGTATACCAATAAAAAAAAATAGCGTAAAGTATTCGTGGATAACTGGTCTTTAAAACACTTGCTCTATTTTGAGCACTCCAACTGCGCCGTCGTGCTCGAAAAATCGCTCGTGTTTTAAAGACCGTTATATCCACTTATACTTTGATATACTATTATTTTTGCCTAATTACTTCTGAAAACGTTTGTTAGAAAAACCGCTGTCATTTGTCATTGACAAAATGTTGACATTGGACTAAAACAATATCGAGGTGAGATGCCTTTTGGCATCTTTTGCTATCACCTGGACAAAATACATCTATATGGTTTCGTCACTTTATATTTATATATATATTGATGCTTTGAACTACACCATAAAAAATCTTCTGTCCATCCTATTTTTTTTCCTTCAGAATTTTATTTCCTGGTGGAGGGACCTACTTCAACGAAACTGATGGGTATGGAGAAGCTGCTAGACAAATTTATAAATTAGCTCTAGAGTCAAACGCCAGAGGCGTTTACTATCCAATTTTGGGAATATGTTTGGGAATGCAAGTATTGGTATTTTCGCACATTGGGACTGATATTAGAATACATAGATCGCTAAAACACACAGCCGTGCCATTGGATTTTACGGAAGGTAATAAAAATGACAAATAAAAAAAAGCTCGGATTTCTTTCCATTTTATTTTAACAATTAATTTTCGATGTAAATATCCCAGGATCAAATTTAATAAAAATAGTTGGGGTGTTAAAATTAAATAAAGTTTTTAAAACGTCATTACAATGTTATTGGAATGCCAATAAAAATATTCCTTGATTTATTTTTATCTTTTCAAATAAGAGAGATATTGCATGTAAACGATAACTTGGGATACCCTCTATATGATTGAATTTAATTTGTAAATTTTTTTAGGTTATGAAAAAAGTAAACTATTTTCCAATACACCTAAACACATCCTACACATTTTAAAATCGAAAAACGTCACTCACAACCTTCACCGTTATTCTATAACCGAAGAAATCCTAAATAAACACCGACTTCTCGATCAATGGAGGATTCTCTCCACGAATCGAGGAGACGACGAAAACGAATTTATTTCCTCCATGGAGCATAAAAATTTTCCTATTTACGGTATCCAGTTCCACCCTGAGAAGAACATATTCGAGTTCAAGAAGAATTACGGCATTCCGCACTCCGCGGATGCCGTGAAATCTGCGCAGTTTTTCGCGAATTTTTTCGTGGACGAGTGTAGGAAAAACAACAACGGTTTTCCCAGCGAAGAACTCGAAGAAAATAGTCTGATTTACAATTACATCCCTTTGTATACGGGGTTGAATGGATCGTCTCACGTTCAGTTGTATGTTTTTAGCAAAGATGATTATACAAAATGTCTTCTAGTCTGATTTGTGATAATAGTTTTAAGTGTTTCGTATATTTTTTATGTTTGTTTGTGTTGTCAGATAATTTAATAAAAAAATATTCTTCTGTAAATACCTATCGTTTCAATAACCCTGCGCCATAATAAAAATTTGATATTTATGTTCCCAACAAACATTTTGTGAAGGGGAATTAAAGGCCCAATAACTGTCACCCTCCAATTACATTGATGGCCATTTGACTTTTTTAATTAAAAGGCCGGTATATATAGGTCACTACGGCCGACAGTCGGGCCGAAGTCACTTTGCCATCATAACCAATTAATGGGCCTTCATTTCCCCTTTAATGTCTAGAAATAAATATATTGGCAATTAATGGCCTATTAATGGGAAGTTAACGGGAAATTGCTGGCCTTTTACCATATTAATAAAGGCCATGTGCCAGGCACATGATGACAGGATATTCGATAGTGCCTCTTTGACCAGTAGTACCGTTTGAACTATAGATTCTATACAAAAACAGAAGGTATTTCAATATAGAATATTGTAAACATTTTAGTACAATGAATACTGAATACCAGCAATGCGAGACTGGCCACATAGTACATGTCCACTCGTTGAGTATGTAACAAGCGATCATCGGTGTCTCCATCTATGAACGCGGGACGAAGCCCTCCTGGACTGTTGGGAGTTGGGTCTGCGGCAGTTAAAAGTCTTTTGACTTTTTCCATGCTTTTACCTTTCATAAGGCCACCATCAAGCAACATAATGCTGGGCCACTATCGAAAGGCCAAAAGTAGGCTTTCATATTTTAATCGTCGCATTCATTTTCCCTCTAATTACAGCAAAAGGCCAGCAATATCTCGGCAATTTATTGTTTGTTGGGTTGGAACTGCTACGGTATTAGGTCTTTCTTACTTTTGACAGTTGCTAACACTGAAAGTCAGACATGTTTTAGCTTGAAGGTAGGAAACGAGGCACAAAGCGCATAGAGATTCCACATGAATTATACTATTTACTCCAAACACTAGATCGAAATTGTTTTACATTCCTCCATTGTTATGGGTGAATCGTAAAGACCTGAAACTTAACCAAAGAATCCAAAGATATTATGACGATGACGTGTATTTATGTTTTTGGTTATTCTCATTTTTCCGTCTGGTGCTACACGTTGAAAACCGAGAAACACTTTATTGATTCACCATGTATGCATCATAAAAAGATAAACGGGTACAACTAATTGACAATCAATTTATCACTGGACTAGATCCCGAAATTATTTTTCACATAAGAGAGTATATACAAAGATTTGAGATTATATACCTAGTTACTCCAAGTAAGTATTCGTTAAATACAGTGAGCATCATAAGTCTTACACCCCCTAACTCGTTATTGGGGTCTTGTTAGGAAAATCGCCGAGAGAGGTCGATTTTTGATTTCTACAATGTACATTTTTGCATGATTAGTTTACCCTTAATTTCATCCCTTACTGGATAGAGCAAGAGCCCGTGAGAGCCAGACCTTCGGAATTTTATAAAAGCTGAGAGTTCTTCTGTGTATGTCCCCAATAGAGGTAAGAATGATTCCCGCCCATGAAACCTGAGTAGTGGTGGCTTTGGCAGGTAACAGGTAGCAAAGGTGCATAAAATTCCACCTCAAATTTATTAATTTATAAAACTCAATTTTTTTATATTTTATTCGTAATAATATTAAAACTCGCGTTGCTCATTGCCAGACACTTAATATGGTTACAACCCTCTGCCAGACACCCCTGAACTATTATAATTTGTAACTATACTTACGTTATATTATAAAAGCTAAATTTTATATATATTATTTAGACAACTATTAAATAATGTTTCCTTAATAGCCAGACAATTTCGAGGGTTATATCGTCCTGCCAGACGTATTAAATGTGTACAATAGTTATGAGTGAGAGGAGCATATGCAGCAACGGGTGTGAGTGAAATAGAGCGTGCAGTCTATTGCGATCTTTTACTGCGCATCTACTGTTGTTTATTCCGAATTATTTTGTAATATTTTTTCTAATTTTTTGAGAAATTTCATTGAATAAAATTATTACAGTTTGAATAATAAATTTTTAAAATAATATTCCGTAAAATTTTATAATAAAATATCAATCATATCAAAAATTCATGTTATTTTTAAATTTTATAAAGTTTATTATATTCAATTCAACTGAAATTTCAGTCATCAAAATTTTATTGTTTATTATACGAAAGAATAATTTTTTTGTGAGTTAGAAATTACACAGAAAAATAATACAACATTTAATATACGTTTACTATGAGCATAACCGCGCACTACATAATACACAATGAGCAGCTGATGCGCAATAAAAGATCGCGATGCGCTAGTTCAGTCATGATGTAATTATGGTTCCACTGACAATTAAAGTGACAGTAGATTTTTTGAGTGCGTTTTGTTCGTTTTGTTTACCTAAATTATATCGTTTTTTCAATTTTATAAATATATTCCTAAAGTAAGTAGATAGCATGTATCAAATATACAATCGTTTAGTTACCAATTACATACCTTTAAACTATTTTTTATGACCTTTAAACAATATTTTTAAATAAAATAAAAACAGTAAAAACGTATATGTCAAATTTATTGATGTTTTTGTTAAAAGTTTGGTTAGAATTAAATGTCAGTGGAACCAAAATGACATCACACTGAACTAGCGCAATAGACTGCACGCTCTATTTCACTCACACCCGTTGCTGCATATGTTCCTCTCACTCATAACTATTGTACACATTTAATACGTCTGGCAGGACGATATAACCCTCGAAATTGTCTGGCTATTAAGGAAACATTATTTAATAGTTGTCCAAATAATATATAAAATTTAGCTTTTATAATATAACGTAAGTATAGTTACAAATTATAATAGTTCAGGTGTGTCTGGCAGAGGGTTGTAACCATATCAAGTGTCTGGCAATGAGCAACGCGAGTTTTAATATTATTACGAATAAAATATAAAAAAATTGAGTTTTATAAATTAATAAATTTGAGGTGGAATTTTATGCACCTTTGTTACCTGTTACCTGCCAAAGCCACCACTACTCAGGTTTCATGGGCGGGGATCATTCTTACCTGTATTGGGGACATACACAGAAGAACTCTCAGCTTTTATAAAATTCCGAAGGCCTGGCTCTCACGGGCTCTTGGACTAGGAGGGTAGCAACCCTTTCGAAAAATGTAAATGGCATGGGGTGGTGAGTGAGCTCATTTGAAAGGGAGTTTTATTCTCTATTCAACCGTGCAAAAAAGCGAAATATAAAATCTCAAGGAACCTTTAAAAAACTACCTTTGTGTCTGTAGGATAATTTTGAAAGTTCAAGATATCTAATACATTTGAAGACACAAGTGGATAAAGGTGTCATGTCACAAAAATATCATTTCGAGAAAAACAAGTTTAAAGTTTTACAATCGCATTATGAGGAAAAGCTGTTATTTATCAAAATTGGAAATCAGAACTATCTCAAACAAAAAATATAGTATATTTTAAGTATATTAGGCTATAAAAATCATTTTTTAAAAAAAATGTGAGGCAGGCAACAGCAACACTACGGCTAGCTACAGGCAAAATATTTCGATATATAAACAAAGTGTGATCCGAATTCAGCTGTTAGGCCGTTCCATAATCCAAAATGTTTAAAATAAACCATTCACACAATAATATTTCTCTTTATAATTCAAATAAAAAGTAATTCATTTGAAATTTGATGGAAATCATTACATGATTTTTCCTTGCGGTTTTGAAGCTTGTCTTTAAAAAAATCACACAACCGATATTATTATTAACACCAGAACAAAGTTCAAAACTAAAAATATAAACACCACTAAATTACAATAAAATATTAGAGTTTTTAAAAAACTAATGTACGACACCAAGTAAAATATTTTCTGTCAACTTATTTTATCAATCCGTGACGTCACGGCGTCCTTAGCAACGGTAATCGTTTGCAAGTCAAAGTAGTTAAAAGGTAGATAATTGGTTACTAAATGATTATATGCATGTTATCTACTAACTCTAGAAACATATTTTAAAAAGTTTAAATACAATATAATTAAGATAAACAAAACGAACAAAACCCACTCAAAAAAAAACTTATATCACTGAAATTGTCATTGGAACCAAAATGACGTCATCACTAATTTAGCGTATAAGCATTGAATACTAAACAGATCAGGCTTTAATATTTTTTAAATTGTACAAATGACATAAAATAATGCTCAATATGAGCGAGGAGAGGTTGATTTTGGTCTCAGACTATTAGTCACTCACAGGCCCAAGAGAGGGGGGCAAAATCCTCGGGGCCAGGGCACAAGGGGAGCCAGGCAGCTTTAACAAAATAGGTTATAATTAGGGTTACCAGACGTTCCGCTTTAGGCGTAAATGCCACGGAGGACGTTTTTTTTTTATAGAAGCTCGCAACAAAAAGGAGGACCTCTATTGGGATTCTCATCTTTCAATACGGCACGTGTTGAGACAACTATCTTCGTTCCACAGAATGCGATTTGTATGTAATGTCTCTTCCTATTCAATTTGTTACGTGTTGAGAACGCACATAATCCCTGTCCTGATTTACGAAAAATACAACCTAAGGACCTTTTTTGTTTTTTTTTTTCAGAAATTTTACCAAGAAAGGACTTGATCACCGTTGTCCCGCTATTCCCTTTCGTAAATCTGCTAACCCTAGTTATAATATGAGTATAAGGGGCCCTTGCCAATGTTTTTCCTCGGGACCGCACCATGGCTCTCGGCGGCCCTGGTCACTCATAGAAAATAGTAGATATAATGCGCTGATTGCGTAAGAGTACATCGCCTTAAGGTACCATTTCGGAACGCGCGAAATGACAGACGACAACAGAAACGACGGCAAAGGAGACCGATGCATTTACGTTACGTTTCACATATTTTTAGAAGCAAGGAGACAGGCGAGGCGAAAACCACAGACAACCATTCAAGGGAACGATCAGCTTTGCCAGACCTACTGTTTTTAAGTAGATCCACTGTTTTTGTCTCTGTTCTCCTGTTTTAGACATGAACTCTACTGTTTTCGCCAAATTAGCAAATTTTGTTCTTAATTTATTAAGTTTGCCTCCTTCTTCAGCAAATGGTCAAAGAGTATTTTCTCTAGTAAATTTGCTGAAGTAAAATCAGCGTGATAAGCAGCCTCTATTGTAGGTTTGCTCCATAAAAAACCTCAAGATAATCATTATGTATTTATTTAAAATGCAACAAAGAATTAATAGGGCATCATAAAAAGAACATGCATGCCAAACACAACGTATTTGAATTATCTGATTCAGACTGATCTAAAAGAAATACCTATTATTTTTCATTGTTTTTTTTCTGTTTCTGTACTTTAAGTATATATTAAAAATATTATTTGTTTTCATTCTTTGTTTACTTTCTAATTTGGGTAGAAAAATGTGTATTTTTCATTTCTTAAATACCTGTTTTTTTTTATTTACTACACTGCAAATTATAATTATTTTCCCCTGTATTAAAATCTATTGTTCCGATCTACGGTTTTTTTTTCACCCATACTGATCCAGAAAATTATCATCTGTTAACACTGCCTAGATCGAAAAAAAATTTGCAATTACCATTTCTATAAAATCTCAACTAATCACCTCGAAATACAAGCGATGACTGAGGACTGAGCGCGACAGGAAGCAAACGCTCTACCCCGAGACCGATCTACCTGTCGTCGATATCTGTCGCACTGATCGCGCCTTGCGAAATATGTTTTATGTAATTGCATGTGTTCAGACTTGAAGAGACCGTTCTTGGTCTCCTTTGCCGTCGCTTCTGCTGTCGTTTGTCGTCTGTCGCGTGTTCCGAAATGGTACCTTTAAAGCTGCTTCAGGTTATCGTGATCTAATGCGTATTATTAAAAGTGCACATATGTTTATTTCATAAATATAATTCTTTTTAATTAATGTTTTAAGGCCTGTCTGTAGGGGTGTAGGAGTATTAGAGTACTAATACTTCTACACTATGGAGTATTAGACTACTAGTACAATCCATAACCTACATAGAACACTAGGCTAATGACCTTAGATGTTGAAGCCGTACACTAAAGAAAAAAAAAATATTAATTCAATTTTAATTGTAAAATTAACCTTTATATAAAATGACAAGTTTTTACATTATAATAAATAGGTAATAAAAAAATATATATAATAAAAATACAATGAGTACCTATAAAGTTATTTCGATTTTAAATCCTACTATACCATTCTACGACTCATCGATTTCCTTAATTTTAATTGTGTTCTACTTTGAGGCGAAATACGTTTCTTTAGGTAAGCCAGTTTCAACAGATGAAAGACCATAAAATTTAAATGATCCAAAGCTAAATCCATAGGCGTTCTTCCTAAAACACAAATAAAAGTAAAAGACCACGAATATACGAGGAAAAAGAAATTAAATGAAGGCAGGAATTAGTTATGTTCTCTTTTAGTTCACCTGTAATATCTCTGACAAACAAATCACTCTCCATGTTGAGCGTAATCAAATACTGAGCTAATGGTATGTAGCCCGAAATTGCTACGTAGTGCAAGCAATTCCGTCCTTCTATAGGATGGAGCTGGTGTCTGTCCATGCCGTTAGCGATTAAGAGCTTAAACATGGTTAGTTTGGATTCTGAATTACAAGCCAAGGTTGCTTCTAAAAAGTCAAATTACTGTATACTCATGTAATACCATAAGATAATCTGTTCTCTTTCTGATTTTAGTAAATATGATGACGAAAAAAGTAACATGTTATATAATTTCTTAAAACTTTCACGAATGGAAATTGACATATTTGACATATTTGACATATTTGACATATTTGACATATTTGACATATTTGACATATTTGACATATTTGACATATTTGACATATTTGACATATTTGACATATTTGACATATTTGACATATTTGACATATTTGACATATTTGACATATTTGACATATTTGACATATTTGACATATTTGACATATTTGACATATTTGACATATTTGACATATTTGACATATTTGACATATTTGACATATTTGACATATTTGACATATTTGACATATTTGACATATTTGACATATTTGACATATTTGACATATTTGACATATTTGACATATTTGACATATTTGACATATTTGACATATTTAACATATTTAACATATTTAACATATTTGACATATTTGACATATTTGACATATTTAACATATTTGACATATTTGACATATTTGACATATTTGACATATTTGACATATTTGACATATTTGACATATTTGACATATTTGACATATTTGACATATTTGACATATTTGACATATTTGACATATTTGACATATTTGACATATTTGACATATTTGACATATTTGACATATTTGACATATTTGACATATTTGACATATTTGACATATTTGACATATTTGACATATTTGACATATTTGACATATTTGACATATTTGACATATTTGACATATTTGACATATTTGACATATTTGACATATTTGACATATTTGACATATTTGACATATTTGACATATTTGACATATTTGACATATTCGACATACACAATAAGTCAACTTAAGGTTTGTTCCTCTGAGCAATTACTACTTCCCCTCTTCCTGCGCTAAATTTTGTAATCAACATCTACTCTCCCGAGGGGGAAAATTCCTAGCTGTTAATTGGGTTATTCAATCAGCGTTACTAAGTTTGAGAGCACCAGTACTAAAACTTTTTGACATATGTCAATTTTTGGTTTGTATTTTACGAAAAATATAATTATTTATAAATGTAATTGTTGTAAATGTATATTTAAGATTTATTATCTATAATAATATGGTGAAAACATGCTTTATGTGTAAGAGACCTGTTGAAAAAGCTTCTTCAAGATTATATATACCATAAGTAAGTACAAACACAACCATGAGGGTCATGTCCTCTGGATGATATGTATCCTAACATAAAAAAGCTTCTGTGTATTCTTGCTACACTACCAGTTAGTGTAGCAACGGCAGAGAGGTCCTTCTCCACACTTAGGAAGCTGAAAAGCGGGATTGGTGCTTCTCTAGGTTCATGGAATGTTCTAGTTGATATGGAGGAAGTTATTAATCGTTTCGCGAGAAGGCAGAAGAAGAAAATTTATTTTATTATTTAATTTCAATAGAATCGCCCAGGATAGCTATTCACTAAGTCATGGGAGCGCTCCCATGGGAGTGCTCCCATATATTTTGCTCTCTTACTCTTAGGTGGGTATATCGTGCTTACTCACTTTTAGCCCAGGTACATGCGTAGTAAGGTCAGATTTTATGCCATGGGAGGGAGAATTGCGGGCTTGCCAGATTTTGGTCCGTATTTATAAACAGAATTACCTGAGTCGGACTAGGGTAAGTCGTCCTTGAACTAAAATCGAAGGGCTGTTACAACGTCTCTAAAGTTCTAGGTGGTTCTGGCGTTAGACTGGAATTTAGAGATAAATATTAGCAAATTTGTAACTGTTATGTACATTTACGGATTTGTTACTACCCATCTCTAAATTCACGCGATATAACCGAACTTCGATTTTTGTTCAAGGACGACTTACCCAAGTCCGACTCAGGTAAGTTCTGTTTATAAATACGGACCAAAATCTGGCAAGCCCGCAATTTGAACTACTTAAGAGAATAGGTATCCAGTTAGTATTAAAATATTGGTTTTACAATTTATATATCACTTAAATTGATATTGACAGATTTTTTTTTGTGTAAAACTTTTTAGCTTTTTTTGCGTTTTTCTAGTCTTGGGAAGGGGCAAATGTCCCCTACGCATCCCCATTGATACGCCTCCTCCGATAAAAAAAGTCCTTACGCCCATTATCGTATCTTTAACCCTTTAATTGTTATGATTATGAATGTTTTAAAATCCGAAATTGACGAAAATTCTAATTTCCTACAAGCGTGTACTTTTAGAGAGAAGTACTTCTATCTCACTTCCAACTCAATGTATAAGATGGTTAAGGGAAAGCGCGATGACGCGCTAAATCAATTTTTTGCTGTTTTTCAGCGGTAACAAGTTTAAAAAAATTATTACTAACATTTTTCATAACACTTTGTTATATTTGCCGATTAATAGTTTTGTATCATGTGATTTTTTTTTACTTTTTTAAATACTTTCGATAACTTTTTTATTCATTGGAGTTAATAGAAATGTTCCATCTACAAAAAAAATCATTGCCAAGAGCTGTCTAAGAAATAAATTTTTCTCACTGGTTTTCCAATATTTATTCTTCAAAAGGTTACCGCTAGTGATGCCGCGAGACAAGACGAGACGAGAGAGTGGCCTCTCTCGTCTTGTCTCGTAGGTCGAGAGGAAACCGTTCTCTCGTCTTGGTGCTTCTCTCGTCTTGTCTCGTCTCGTCTCGTTTTAAGCAATTGAAAATTTCAAATAAGCAAAGAGAAAATTGTTCGAGAGAGCCCGAGAGAGCTCGAGAGAAACGAGAAATTCTCGTCGAGAGATGACACTCTCTCGTCTCGAATCTGTTTTCGAGAGAAAATGTCTCTCTCGTCTCGTTCGAGACGAGACAAGACGGGACGAGAGACGAGAATCTCTCGTTTCGCGGTATCACTAGTTACTGCTTTGTAAGAGAAACGTTTAACAAGACCTTTCCAGACCGAAAATATCAAAATGTTACCAACCAATTGATGGTTCTATTGGTTTCCATAGTGAAATTATCCCGGAAACTCCAGAAAAGTGGCAGAGATAACAGAAGGCAAAACAGTCTTTTGCAAAATAAGAACAAGAAATTTGTTTAAGAATCTAATTATTATTTGAAGTTTTACCATTAATAATTTTTGATAACCCTTTAAGATTATGAAGTTCCACATGTATTTTCCTCTTTCATAACGTATGTTTAAATTTTTATTTGGGACCAAAAATAAATTATAATTTTCATTTCAACTACAAAACCCCTCATAATATTAAAAAGGGGGAAAACGTCAGATTACTTATGTTCAGGACCATCAACTCTTTAAAAATTTACCTATTTCGGAAGGTATGCTATTAACTTTCATTGGATCTATTTGTATATGAATTAATTTATTTAATTTTATCTCTGTTTGTTGTATTTTCAAATTGATTTTGATATTAATATTATCTATTTTTATTTTGTTTTATATTCACATGTATATTTTTTCAATGAAACAAACGTTTACTAACTTAAATATAATCAATTCACGTTGTATTATTATATGCTTGCATGAATGATTACTTTTATTTTATTTTGAAACTGGATATCGAAGCTGAAGCCAAAATGGCGAGCGAGAATAAAAAATTAGACGAGAATGATATTTACTGGAGGTTTCATCGACGCTCTTCTAACTTTTTCTAGCCTATCTTCTTCTGACCCAGCAAAGTCCATCTTCCCTCCATCCTTTCATTTTCAAGATTTACAGAGGGAACTCCGAGTTCTCTTCCTTCTTTGAAGACAAATATCTACATACCACCACATTACATTATTTGTTATCCCGAGTAATTTAAATGCATTCGTAATTGCTGATTCTCAACTCTACTCTCGTAGATTTCGTACCCATTTTTCTTCTTTTTAGTTTAGTTTGCATCTATTTTTCCTTTTCCATATCTTTAATTCTACAATATTATAACGCTACCATATGGATCCATTTTAGTGAGTTATATATATTTTCAACTATTTAATTTCAATCATAAGTGACCAACCAACTCTTATATTGTTCCTATTATAATTAAGGTTTATTGTATTACAGGCCTGAAGATGGCCCTGTGAGGCGGAAACTAGTCGCTCCTGTATTTATTTATAATAAAATCAATGTGTTATTTTATTCTTTAATTAAAAAATTAGACCTTTACAGAGATTTTGTTTTATTTTCTGCATCAAACATATTTATAAGACGGTATACGAGGTAAGCGCCAATAATTCCCGGCCTGACAATGAAGGAGGCAAAGTACAACAAGTTTTATTATTTTTCAATGTAATCTCCCTTAACCTTAATGCACTTCTTACAACGTTTAATTAACAATTCAATCCCTTTAAAAACATATTCTTACGGTTTATCCTCAAAATGGGCCAAAACAGCTTCTTGTAACTCAAAATCGTCCCGAAAACGTCGCCCGCGAAGGTCCTTTTTCAAATAACTAAACAAATATTAATCGCTGGGAGCCATATCTGGACTATAAGGAGGGTGATCTATATTTCTATATTTTGAAACCCGCAATCTAGGATGGCAGCTTGTGTAACGCCAGCAGTATGAACGGGCGCATTGTCGTGCAACAACCGCACGCCTCTGGTTAATTTTCCTCGACGTTTTTCCCGAATACATTCCCGCAACTTATGAAGTAATGCGGCATAATATGTGCCATTAACGGTGGTATTTGTCTCTTTAAAATCAATCAGAAGGATCCCAAAAGATCGTAGCTATCACCTTTTTCGTTGATTGGCAGACTCTAAATTTTCGTGGGGGGGCTTCACCCTTACGGCGCCACTCCATTGATTCCCTTTTCGACAGAGGATCATAATAAAGAACCATAGTTTCATCTCCAGTGACTATTGTTTTGATCACGGGGTTCGGATCATCTCCACACAGTTCCAAAAACGATCGAGCACACTCGACACGACGTTGCTTCTGAATCGCCGAAAGGTGTTTGGGCACCCATCTTGCACTAACCTTATGCATACCCAAATGATCATGGAGGATTCGGCGAACAGTGGTATCATAAAGCTTGGTCATTTCTGCCATTTCCTTGACCTTCAAACGTCGGTCACTTAGCACCAGGTTTTCCACAAGTGCCACTTTGTCCTCCGTTATCACCTCCACTGGCCGTCCAGGTCTTTCGTCATCTTCAAGGGATTCCTGACCCATGCGAAAACGTTTTGCCCATTCCTTCACTACCGAATAGGAAGAGGAACTTTGGCCATATACGCCATCGAGTCTTTCTTTAATAATTTTAGGTGTAAGCCCTTCTTTTGTTAAAAATTTAATAACCGCTCTGTACTCAATTTTTGTCACCTGAGACATTTTCGGAGATACTTTAGTTCAAAATGATGACAATTAAAAACTATTTGACGTAAGTCGCTAATTTAGTTACCACAGCCTACTAAGGTTTGTAGTTATAAAATGTTAAACTTTTATCCCGATAAAATATCTGCAACTATGTCAGGCCGGGAATTTTAAAAATAGTAAAATTAGCGATTTTTTTTTGTATAATTAAAAAGTGACTGCTTCCTCACTTCTTCTATATATGTTGAGAACACAACAATCGCCTACAAACTCGCTGCACGCTCTCTCTAGTAGTAATTGCTCGGAGGTTTGTTCCAGTCTCTCTCTTTGTCAAAAAAGTAGTAACCTTGTTTTTTGCGCTTATAGGTTTTTAGAAACAATGATTATGTAATGATTCTAACTATATATTGCATGTTTTTTTCAACATAATAGAAAATCTGTCGCGATTCTAGTCTAGAATTAGTGTTCCAACAAACTTTGGACTCAAAATTGAACAAAACTCTATTGTGCCAATACAACAAAACCTAATTACAAACTTTTAAATCAGTTTCTGGGTCTAAATAAGAATCTTTTAGGTCGCAGTGTATTAATACCTCAGCCATATCCAACAAACCATAACATGGTATAAAATCATGCCATCGTCTAACTCTACTTTTTCTCTAATTGGACATTGACGTTTCTATCTTTAGGAATGTATATGTAGCGGATGGTTTTATAACAATAAACAATATATATACCTAAAAATAGAGGAAACTCCTTTTGCTCATGTAGTTTAGCTCCTTTCCTCAACAAAAACTTGGCGATAGGCATGGAGGGTTGATCGATTACGGCGATCGATAGGGGCGTCACATCGAAAACGCTTACGCAATCGTTGATATTGGCTCCATGTCCAATCAAATCGAAAACCAAACCCATGCTTCTGATTGTACACGCGTAGTGTAATGCCGTGTAACCGTTAGTAGTCCTTTTGTTAGGATCCGCACCTTCCTTCAGCATCATTTGTAGAGCTTCTCTACAATTGACTGTTCAAGAGTACAAGATTGAATATAAGAAAAACAAACGGTTACTATTCAAATCATAATGAATTAATTGTGAGTTTGAAGACTAGAGATAAGGAGGCGAATCGGCATACTCGAAATACGGTCCAAAAAAACGAACTCTTATTGAGCTTTTTTAATTCACCGCAAGGGCGCTGGTGCTAGTACCGGTGTTCAAAATACATGACTTCCCATGGGAAATTTACATAATTTTGTCAAAATATTAAAAATAAACTTGTTTATTGTCAAATAAAGCACTGAATATACTGTTGTATTTATTTCTAAATAAGTCTCGCATGTTTTAATTGATAAATTATTTAATTTTATCTACATAAAATGCAATTTAGGTAGGTATGACCCACTTCGAAAAGATTTGTTAAATGGTGAAATTTGGTAAGTTAAATTTTGTGTGTAAGAGAAAATAAAACACAGTTAACAGATTTATTGTTATAATTATTATAATACAAGCATAAAGGGAGATTTGGGAATGTATATGATATTGCCACATCTCTTAATTTCGGCCTTCTCATTTTTATTTTTCTAACAATACTATCAGTAAAAAGAGTCTCATAATATTTGGAAATATCTTCTAAAAAGTGTTGAACACCATCATCTCTAGAAAGTGCTTTATCGGCCCTAGGAACGATATATATGCTGCCACTGTTCTAAGCGTTTAGGATCACATAAAAACATTTACAATGACAAAATTGGGCAACAAAAAAATAACAGTAGCAACTCTTTATCTAACATTTAAACCCTATAGAAAAAAAAATTTTCTTTTCTAGTAAGTTAAATTTAATGTTTGTAAGTCTATGACTGTAAAATTTTATTTTATTAAAATTTGTAATAAAATAAACTACACTTCGTGATACGTGTTGTGACTAGTTTACAATAAATATTATATTTAGACATAAATACATTATTTTACTTACATTAGAAGCTTTAAAAAGACATTGAATTGATTTCTCCTTGTGTTTTCTTTAGTTTTACATGTGATTTGTATCCTGTTTTACAATGTGGAACAAAGTAAATTTTGCTTTAATGTTTTTTGTCACTCAAGTACTTTTTTTCACATTATTTTAATTCTTTTCACAAATTTTGTAAAAAATCACAAATCACTTCATTTTACATTGCCTTATATAGAAAATGTACGTCAGTAATGTTCGACCTGCCAACTACAGTCAATTTAGCGACCTTTATAAAAAGGACAGAAATTTGAAATTTGATAATTGCCGCTTCGCCCACTTATATCTAATCTTCATAATTGTGAGAATAGAAGACAATGCAACCAACCTAACAAAATAAAATCGACACTTAAGGATTTATTTACCTTCGCAAGCTACCATCAGAGCAGTGACACCAAACCAATTTTTCTTATCGATCTCGATGTTTTGCCGATTGAGAAGTATTCTTAAAATGGCATAATCGCACTTTTCCGTCGCAATATGAAGAGCGTAATTTCCGTCATCGAATTCGGTGTTCGGATCCACGCCCAAACCCAAACAATCGATTAAAAGCGGTATATTGCTTTGGATGATGGATTCTTTGAATTTCGTTTGTCTCGCTTTGAACACTAAGACGAAAATTCAAATTAGGGCTCTTAAAACTAAGCTAAAATTGAAAAATATATATATATATATATATATATCAGTGATCAGTAGTGTACGCTAAATAACAAAAATAGTTCAAAAGTCACCTTATTTTATAAATTAATGTTAAGACAAACACTTCTTTGAAAATAAAAATGCGATTTCCTCGGTTTTATATTAAGAAAAAATTGCGAAAATTGTACTTTTTGTGTTAATACTACGAAATTAGCTAAACAAGATTTTAAAACAAAAAAGTGTTAGAACAGCTAGAGTTGCTGGAAGTCTGGGACTGAGTAAAGATAGCCAGAGAGCTAGTAACACACATTTTATTAAGTGTTTGATGCACTTTGAAATTTTGTAATTTGAATTCATTTGGATGGAAAAGCAGATATACCTGTGTTGGCTAGATCCACCCCGGGACACCAGGGGTGCATAATAGAAAAGGGTCGTAAAATATAACCCAAAAAAAGTGTTTGATTCAGAGGCCAACAAACAACAATTGAAAGTTTAGGCAATTCTAAAAATGCTAGTAATTTAGGCAGACACTTTTGAGAGGGTTTATAATTGATAAATCAACCCCAAAGTTGATTTTTTTTAAATACGATTTAAAGTGTTTGAATCACGCTGAAATTTTAATAGCGTCTTAATTAAATATAAAAAAAATTAATTCCAAAAAGGCAGACACTTTTTTCGGTATTTAATTGCCGGCCAACATAAAAATGAATGAACCTCGTTATGCGCCACTACGCATTGAATAAGTATATACTTTTTAAAAACCAAACATTTTAAATTACCAAGACTGTCAAATAATAAAACAATAATAGTTTTCCTTTTTTTTTTAGGAAAAACAAAAAAAAAACTAAAAGTTTCGGGGCTCGAACCACCAACTTGCTATCCATACTATCGAAATTTTATTGTTTTATTAAAAACTACAACTTACAATCTTGTGTAATAATCGTATTATATTTTCTCCTCGTCTTAAGATGCTTCGCTGACCTCTTCAAAATCTACCGACTTTTGGTCGACCTTTTATTTATTTTTGGAATCTTTACTTGTCTTTTGATTCAATGAATATTCTGGTACATTTTTAAAAATTGTATTTCAAAACAAATATAAAGCACAACATATTGACGTTGTTTTTGATCATTACACAGAAAATTCGATAATGATACTAGTCAAAAAAAAGAGGATCATCCAAATCAATTAATAGGATTATCACTAATTGAGAGATCCCGTTTCCACAACAATGGAATTTATTTATCCACTAAATATTTAATAATAAACAGTTAACCAATATTTTATCAAATTAACTTTCTAATTAAGGATTCCATGCTTGCAAGATACAATTTGTAACGAGTGGCGGATTTAACAACATTACAGACTTTAAAACCAATATGATATTTGTGAAGAAAATCGAGAACTATTAGATTCAAACCATGAAGAAGGTAGGTAGCACTAGAATTCTACTTCATTTATCCTGTGCTAAAACGAAAGGTTTTCTACATGCGTTATTGACTCTATATAACAATATCGATGTTCCTATTATTTTGGTGAATTTTAAAAACTTTCTTCCTAGTGAAATTTGGTTAAAAGCCTGAATCAGAAATTTTACTGGTTATGTGGCTGTTCATAAAATAGCTCTTAACAACCTACCTGCTTTCCATACTTTAACAGGATGCGATACAACGAGTCAATTTACTGAAATGGTAAAAAGATCCATTCCGAAGATCTGTTTAATATTATTTAAAAATTTGTAATAAAATTATATTCGTTGTTGTTCTTTCTTTAACAACATTACAGACTTTAAAACCAATATGATATTTGTGAAGAAAATCGAGAACTATTAGATTCAAACCATGAAGAAGGTAGGTAGCACTAGAATTCTACTTCATTTATCCTGTGCTAAAACGAAAGGTTTTCTACATGCGTTATTGACTCTATATAACAATATCGATGTTCGTATTATTTTGGTGAATTTTAAAAACTTTCTTCCTAGTGAAATTTGGTTAAAAGCCTGAATCAGAAATTTTACTGGTTATGTGGCTGTTCATAAAATAGCTCTTAACAACCTACCTGCTTTCCATACTTTAACAGGATGCGATACAACGAGTCAATTTACTGAAATGGTAAAAAGATCCATTCCGAAGATCTGTTTAATATTATTTAAAAATTTGTAATAAAATTATATTCGTTGTTGTTCTTTCTCTTAACATATTAAGAGGTTTAATGACCTCTTCAACAGAGCTATCTAGGCTACTCCCAACCAGTGTCGGATTAAGTCGTCAGCCGGCGGTCTACCGGTCAAAAGACCGGCAAGCCCTCGTTCAAGCAGTGGGCCCTTGAGAAGAACAAAGAAAATCCATTAATACGTGAGAGCCACGGAAAAAGCAGCAGTGTGCAAAGAAGACCATTTTTACTCTTCAATGATTCTGACCATAAAAACAAATGTATAAGTGAGCCCTTCTCCCTCCTGAACCGGTAGGGCCTACGGGTTCCAATCCGAAACTGCCTCCAACAGACGATTCCTTAGGCTTTTTACCAATCCAAGATTTGGTTAAACTCTTAACCAAAAATAGAAAAGTCAGCTGCCAAAGCCAGTTTTTGAAGAGGACAGCGAAGAATCAGAAGACGAGGAGACAATTTAATACGATTTTTAAACAAGATTGTAAGTTGTAGTTTTTCTAATAAAAAAATATAAATATCCATGCTCTTTAAAGAGATATAATTATTAAAATTGAGGAAGGGCTCTTTTAGTGTCAGATATTTTATCATTCTAATTTTACTCCTCGCTAGGGTTGCCAGATTTCAGGAAGTGAAAAGCGTGGCAACCGTGACGATAGAGCATTTTTATATAATCAGATCCATTTTTTGTGAACATTTAAAAAAAAATCCTCCACTTATTTTTCCTAAATCGAGTCGAACATTTCTTAAAAAAAAAAAGAAAAAGGTCGTCGACTGATTTTTCGTACAAACGAGGGTCTTTTACCCGGTCTATTTTTCTATAAATCTGATTTCTCTGCGGCTTTTAAAAAGCGTGGAATTTGCATAAAAAGCGTGCAGGCAAGTCAAAAAGCGTGGCTGCCACGCCGAAAGCGTCGTCTGGCAACCCTACTTCTCGCACATTTATTTTTTTTCAATATTTAGTAGGTATTATTACTAATAATAAATTTTTTCGAGACCCCTATTTCAGAGGTCATATATACAGGGTATCTCAAATTATATAAAACGGAGATAGGTTAAAGATCTCATCATTTTAAGCAAAAAGGTTAATATTAACAATGGTCTGATTTCCATAATTACCAAAGTTACTGGTGGTTCAAAATTGATAGAAATTATACATTTTCAGTTGCACGCCACTTGTGATATTTTATATTTTCTTGGTTTTTTAATTAGTTTTCTAACTTTTACATCTCTTGACTTTTGATAGAATTTTACTTACAATTATGAAATCTATAAACTGTTTGAATTTAATCCATACAATTTGAATCATCTGTATAAAACATCAGAACTACAATAGTTTATCTACAAAAAAAAATAAGATTGGTTGTCCGCTGTGGTGATAATATGAGCCGAGCTTGATATATGTTTACAATCATCGGTGCAACTAAGATGAAATAATACAAAGCGATAATACCGTTAGCCGAGTGTAGATTACTCGCGGCAGCCGTTTTAATTGATTTATTTTATATTAATTAACATAAGTTGATTATTATAAGACATAAAAATATGGTTCATGTTTTGTTATGATCTAGATACATTTTAGAAACTTTTATAAAGAGTAACTTTTATTGTTTGAAAATCTTGTTTAGCTAATTTCGTAGTGTTAACATAAAAAGTACAACATTTTTCGCAATTTGTTCTTAAGATAAAACCGGGGAAATCGCTTTTTTATTTTTTTTAGCCGTAAGCCCTAATAGTTTTTTAAATGTTTAAAATAATACATATGCACGATCTCGCTAGTCGGTACTGGGAGGAAGTCTGTTATAACTTTTTCACTTTATTAGAAAATCCAAAATAAAGGTAATAAAACCGAGAAAATATTAAAATATAGAGCGAGACTGGAAAAAAGAATTTGTTTTGGTTTGGTGTTAATAATTTAGAGACTATTTCGATTATGAAGTGAAAATTAATAATATTATTACTCTCATTTAGACCTTTTAAACGATGTTTAAGAAATTCCTTTAAATTATTAAAAACTCATTTGCTTCAAGAACGTATTTTTCTGCTTATTCCACCTACTCAGAACTTTTATACATTTAAGAGTAAATATTGGCAATAGATATGCCCTTTTTTATTTTATTATTACTGACCTCTTCTTACTGCAGATCCAATTCCAAGGCTAGGTTTCGCAGGCAGCGTCGTTTCATTACCCATTTTGTTTAAAAATTAAACATGTAAGTAAATAATAAATAAAATTAAATCTGATTTCTGTACTAAATGCAAGATGTATATGACAATTTGACATTGACGAGCGAAGAATACGACAATGACTATCAACCTGACTTATGAACCTAGTCTAACGGTGCAAGAGAGAGGTCCGACACGCCCAACATAGGGCGCGGCCATTTTAATGCCTTTACCACAGTTTATAGCTAAAGAATCAGTTCGCTCACTCTGCGTTGGCACATTTGATCTCAATGTTCCAGTTTATACACTGCGCAACTCGGATAATATAATGACAACCGCCTATAATAAAACAGCAGTCATCTGCGCATCCTCAATTTGTATCCCTGGAGTAGATGTTATTTTGGAACTTTCAACTGGTCCGAGTGAGATAATTGATTCTTTAGCAATAAACTGTGACTCCAAAAATAATATTCACTGACACTGACAGCAGCAAGCAGAATATCAGGTGCGTTTTAATCATCCGCTTCTGCTTTCGGAATTGTCGGTTTAGTTTTAACCTGTCAGATTAAAACAAGAAAACCGACAATTCCGAAGCAGAAGTGGATGACTAAAACGCACCTATTAAAAATATTGCGCCAAGATGTAGGCAACACGTAATAAGGCAAAAAAATGGCGGAGTTTTCTATCTCCTTTTAAAAGGCACTCAGAAAGCTGCACAGTGCGACCATTCTCCGTATAGTAAGAGAAAATCAAAGTATGTGTCTGAACCTGACCATTCCACATACTCTATTTTCATAATTTATTCATAATATGACGGCGACAGCGGCAAAGTTACGAGGTGGCAAAATAAAAAATCGAAAAGATCAGTTAAAAATACATAAAATCGTAAAATATCATAACTTCCGCAAATTTTTACAGCTAAAGGCAATATACATCACGTAATTACTGGAGAATTAATTTTGGATCTAATAAAAAGTTGGGACTGCTTTGCGAAAGCATTTTTAAGTGGTCCAAAGAAAGTGTTGCATCTTATGGGAAGAATGTGGAGGCAAACTAACCATAATGATAAAATGTTTCCTACAGAATTCATAAATTTCAAGGGAAATATGGCTGTTGTGGTCGTCTAAAACCAGACATACCGGATTTTGTTGTGTGGATACAACTTTTTGTTGAAAATGTTGAATCCATTTAAAAAAGATTTCTTCGTTGCTCCAACCATTTGGGGAACACAGGTAAACTGCACTTATTGGACCATTTCGTTGCAGTTGGGGAGTCATCCTTTTTCTGGGGTATACAAAGAGTGGTGGAATAAATGACCCAGTAGCACTTGTTGAAATTACTTCAACATGTCCTATCTGCTAAATACTAGGTAGACACTCCCTGTATAAACCTCCGCTTTTAGCAAACAAAAATAATAAAGTACTGAATAGTCACTCCCTGTATAAACTAATTATCTAAACTTGAAACACGCTTGACTTTCAAATGACCGCTAGACACCTGTGTCTTCGCAAACAGTTAATATGGACACGTAGGCAATCATGCGATCTGGGACGGCCAATGAGAAAAAAGGCGGTAAAACCGTCGCTGGCTGGCGGGATTGTATCGGAGAAAAAACTTCACTTTCATTTTGTCAGTCGAATAACTCACATCAAAAAATCTTGTCAACGCCGGCAGCAAGCCGAAATTTAAGTAAAAGCATTTGTGCGATTTGATTTAAAAAGTTATAACATGTAATCAGTTAATAATTTATGTAACCAAGTAGTAATATGTAAAATGTGGAATCAGTAAGCCGTGAATATATCAAATTCAAATATAAGGTGATAGTTTCATTTGAGTAAAATCAGTGCATCAACCATAACTTCGAGAGTATCTTCCAGAGGCTACAGGGTGGAGCATAAGGCCTTCACCCCCAGTTAACATATTTCAAACATAGTCATACAGTCCACCATGATCGAAGGCAGTAAGTGTCAAGCCTTATAAACCCAGGGTAAAACAGCACTCATGCAGCATATAACCGTCAGGTTCTTACCTCTTTCTGCTGATGCTATGACTCCAAATTGTTTAATTCCTTTTGGACCTAACCGTTTTGCAGTTTCTTTTGACTCTATGGAAATGTCTGTCTCGTCGACATTGTACATTCTATCGGCAGGGAAATTGTATTCAACACTGACTGATTTTAAATTTTTGTAAAATTGCTCTACCTCTATTTTATTAAATGCGGTTATTCTATTGACACTAGTGGATTCCGGTTTCCGTAAAGCAACTTCTGGATTCCTCGCTAGAAAGTTTTTGTACCAGTCATGACCAGCTTTCTCTATCCCTGTATTAAAAGGATGTTTGATGTGATTTGCTTCAGCATACGTAACGGCTAATCTACATAATTCGTCTTTGGTTAAACCAAAGAATAATTTAGCTAAGTGTAGCAAGTGATCTCGTATCTCACGTTCTTGATTAGAATTAAAAACTGGAGGTCTGCCTAATGATAACAATTTTTGCTCCGTTATTTTTTTTTTAATTTTAAGTGCCGCCTGAGGGTAGCTTCTGGGGCCCAATTCCAGAAGATCCAAATGGTAGGATTCTCTATAATGCATTAGATAACCTTGATTTAGTTACATTAAACGACGGCACCCCAACTAGAATTTCCCCAAGCGGCACACAAACGGCAATAGACTTAACTGTTTCTGCTCCTCGTTATGCAGACTTATTCAATTGGGAGGTATTACCAGACACATTGGGATCAGATCATTTTCCAATTTATATCGAACTTCAAATAAATCCATCATCCTTTCAAATAAACCCTTCTACTAAATGGAATGATTTAAAAGCCGACTGGCCCAGTTTCCAAACAAGTATTATATCTTCATTTGAAAATCTGCCTTCTTTTGACTCCCTAAATGATTGTGAGAAAATCGAGTTCATCTTCGATACTATTAATTCTGCTGCAACAAACTCTATGCCCACTAAAAAACCATTTAAACCCACTACTTATAGGCCATTTTGGTGGGATGAAAAATGCTCAAATATGACTTCAATTCGAAGACAAGCATTAAATGAATATAAAAAACAATCAAATTATGTAAATTATCTGCATTACCAAAGTATAGCAGCAAAAACGAAACGGCTATTTAAACAAAAACAAAAATCCAGTTGGATTTCGTTTATAAACAAAATAAATAAAAGCACACCAATATCAGATATATGGCGATTTATGAAGTCAATAAATAAAAAATCTCATACATCCAAAAAAACTCAAATCCCAAATGAATTAATAAAAAAACTATTCGATATTTTAGCCCCTCCATCTGTCCCTGGTAACCTCTTTGGTCCTCAATTTATATTTCACTCTGAGTCAGATTATTTGTTGAAATCTTTTAGCTACTCTGAATTGAATTTGATTTTGAAAAACACACGAAATACGGCACCTGGGCTAGACGGGTTTACCTATAAAATTCTATATAATTTACTACCCCCATAGCTAAACTCGCACTCTTAACAATCTTTAACAATTGGTGGATGAAACAAGAATACACCGAAAAATTTAAAGATATAATCTGTCCCATACTAAAACCGCAGAAAAATCCTGATCTACCTTCATCATACCGTCCTATAGCATTAATATCGTGCATAACAAAAACATTTGAACGCTTAATCAAGTTAAGATTAGAACATTTCTTAGAGAGCAAATTATTGCTACCGACCTTTCAATATGGCTTTCGAAGAGGGAAAGGAACACTAGATGCAGTCTCTCATTTAGTGACAGATACACAGAGGTGTTTTGCTAAAAACGAATACTTAATGTGTCTTTTTATAGATTTAAAAGGAGCCTATGATGTTGTAGATTTAAACATACTTTACACAAAAATGCTTAATATTGGTATAAACAAAAAGGTTTCAGTTAATATTTTAAACTCGTTTCAGAATCGAAAATTATATCTCAGAGATCATAATAACGTATTACATGGTCCACGTTTAGTCTATAATGGTCTCGCACAAGGCTCTATTTTAAGTCCGTTACTTTTCAACATATACACAGCCAAATTGCATGGTTTATTTGAGGACAATATTAATATTATCCAATACGCCGATGATATCTGCTTTTATGTCTCCCATAAAACATATGAAGAATGCTACAGAGATTTGCGATATATACTATATTGCCTTAAAAGTTTCGTTATTCGAATTAGGTTTTAGTATGTCACCAGATAAATCTGCCATTATGTGCTTTTCAAGACACAGAAGGAGATTTCCAGATAATATTACTATTGGTGAATATACTATCCCTGTTGTCGAACATTACAAATATTTAGGTATTTTCTTAGACAAAAAACTATTATGGACCAAACATATACAATACTTAAGATCAAAATGTGAGAAAGGTATAAATCTTCTAAAGGTTGTATGCAAGCAAACATATGGAGCTGATCCTAACTTATCCATTATGTTCTATAGGTCCTACATTCGTTCTCTTATCGATTATGGGTGCACATTATACGGATCCGCATCCAATACTAACTTGTTAGTATTGGATCGCATACAATACAAGGCCTTAAAAATATGCTTAGGTGCAATGAAGTCATCACCGAATCATGCAATTCTAGCTGAGTCACAAGAACCTCCGTTAGCATTTCGCAGACAATACTTGACGAATAAAGCAGTAGTCAAATATAGATCATATAATACGTTCATAACAAATCAAATCTCAGCTATTGCTATAGAAAACCTTACAAATAGATATTGGAAGAAAAAAAACGCTCCACCTCTAGCTGAAGCCTTTGTAGATACCAGTAATCTCGAAAATCATATAACTAAATACGAACAATACCCGATATTTCTTTATACATTTAAAACAATAATTGTTAAACCCGACATCATATTTTCTACATACTCCGAAATATCCTCTTTGAATAATGCCATCTTGAAAGGAATATTAAATAGATTCATAGACTATGATGTAAATATATACACAGATGGATCCAAAAGTAAAATCGGAACTGGTTTCGGAATTTTTGTCTCAACCACAAATCATATTGAAAAATATCGTATTTCAGACATATCTTCAATATTTACGTCCGAAGCTTTAGCAGTACAAAAAGCACTAGAATGGGTTAAAAACAATTCAATTCAGAAAGCTATAA